TTTGCTGTTGGTATCAGCGTCCTGGCTGTACACATCACAAAAGATTCAGACCTTGTGATCTGACACAGTGTCATTGTTCCCAGAATATATGCAAATATTCTGAGGCCACCCAGGTTTGGTATGCTCCTGTCATAGGCAGCAACAGAACAGAATAGAAAGAATGGGACACCTTAAGTTCCAGCTCCTAAAGGACTTCTTTTCCCCCCTAATCATCATCATCAAATAGCATTAAGTAAGTACGCTCATATCTCTCAGTTATATGATGGTACTGTGCTGGTTCTTCTGGAAGAACCTGGGGAGACGTAAGAACCACAAAGATAATGAATCATTTAGAAAATCAGAATTAGAAGCAAAAGCTAAAGGAACTGAAATGGCTTTTAGCCAAAAGGTAGAGTTGTATTCAAGTACCAGTCTGAGAATGAGAAGTATCTGTTCTGTATCCCTTTTAAGTAGAAGAACCAAATAAATTAGTGTGCCGTAGTAAATTAGGTTAGCCATAAGAAAGAACTTATTAATAATGAAAGAATAATAATGATGCCTGGCACTGGTATAGCACTTTAAAGTTTTTTTTTCAAAGCAAATCCATATTACTCATCATTTTTCATCATTGGGACTATGAGATATCAGAAAGTTGTTTTAAGAGAGGCTATGATTTTTTTTTTTAGATAAATGTATGTATATTCCTGGTGTGTTGCTGTAGGATAAGCACAGGACTGCTAACCACAAGGTCTGTGGTTCAAACTCACCAGCCACTCCTTGGAAACTCTATACAGGGTCCCTATGAATGGGAACCAACTCCACCGACCGCACATAACAATAACAATACCTCTAATGTACAGATGAGGAAACTGGGTAGGTAGCTTGCTCCAAACTACCCAGCTAGGAACTGATATTCAGAGCCAGACCTGACTGGTTCCAAAAAGGAAGATTGCCAGGTCTGTGAGATTATGAGAATCTTCTACCCAAGGGTCTCTTTCCTTCTCTTCTTGAGCCATTCTTGTCCATCATCTTGATGTCCATGGCTATTGCCTTTCTCATCTGTCCCCTCGTGCTCTTCTTCTTCCATCTCTCAATGAAGACAAGGGCACAGCGGAGCCAGAAGAGATGGAAGGAACTGGCATCTATTGAAAGGTACTAGGAATTATACCAAGCATTTTACAAAAGTATCATTTAATCCTCACAAAACCCAATGAGGCAAAATGAGAGCCAAGAGGTAAACTTTTGCAAGGTCTCACAGTTGGTAAGGAGTAGTACACAAAGTCAAAACCAAGCCTGTCCGACTCCAGAATCATCTTCCCCTTGAAAGATTGCAGGCATTCTCTTAACATCTTCATTGTCTTCTTCTGGATGGGTGAAGAGTTTGCCCTCCAAGGCCTCAGGCAATTCTTTTAGCACAGGCTACTCAGCAGTATTCACAGACAGTTGACAGACAGGGGTCCTTTTGCTAGGCTACCCTTCAGCAAGACATGCTCTTTTATTTGGGTGCTGGGTACATTAGCTGCCTCTGGTTGGAATAAATCTGTAATTAGCTGCCCTGGCTGTATTTGCATAATGGATTTCACTTCCGTTCTTAAGTTAATGGTGCTTTTACAGCAGAACAGTAACCTCTTGGTTCCTGGCCATTCAAATAACTGCTACATTGTAGGGTAGAGCCACAGTTTTGTAGGACTTTCAGTTAAGAACCACAGGGAAGGTGGGAGGGGTGGCTAAGGTACCCACTGCATTCATGGTTCTCCACAAGTTTTTGAACCGTTACTGAGGGTTGTTGTTGTTGTGTGCCATGGAGTCGGTTCCAACTCATAGCGACCCTGTACAGGGTTTCTGAGGCTTTAAATCTTTACGGGAGCAGAATGCCTCATCTTTCTACCACGGAACAGCTGGTACTTTTGAACTGCTGACCTTGCGGTTCACAGCTCGATTCGTAACCACTACACTACCAGAGCTCCTTGAGGAGCCTTAAAAGTTAGAGCTTCAGCTGATGAAATGAAATGCGGATAGGTCTCTTGTGATACAATAGTGAATAATTGTTATCAGGACCAATTGTGAGGGTTGGAAATGTAAAGGTAGACATTTTGTAGCAAGAAGGGCAGTGATCAACTTTGCAGTCTAGAAGCGGAGGTCCCTGGGACCATCAATGGAGAAGAGCAGAGAACGGGACCCTACCCAGAGAAGCAGTGATGCCTGAGATGGAGGCAGAGACGATGACATGGAGAGATGGAGTGGCTGGGGACTCTAGACCCAGAGAGGGAGAGGGGCTGTGTGCTGATGACCAGGAGGCAGGCTGGTAGTGTATACCCTTTGCTTGGTTGATGATGCATGGAAGGGATTGTAACCATGGCAATGAAACGATTTACGATAGGATGAATGTAAAACTAATGTTCTCCCATGTAAACTATCACATAATTCACAATAAAACATTTTTTTAAAAAGAGAAAGTTAGAGCCTCAGGACAACAGGGAAATAGTTACCGTACCCCAGCATGCAATCCAGCCTGAAGAGTACCTGCATTTTGTTCCTATGGAAGGAGGTGCAGAGAGAATGAAATGGACCTATAGGCCAACCACTCATCTGCCGGTTTATCATATATTAGCTGTGGTGGCTTGTGTGCTGCTATAATGCTGGAGGCAACTTTGGAGACAGACACTGACCTGACATTGCAGATTCACACCAGGGACTAGCAACAGGGAAGGTGTGATTTCTTCTTATTCTCCACATCCCTCAGGTGGCCAGAGATGTGGCCTGCCCCCACGCTCATCTACTCCCAGCACAGACCCTGCTCTCCAGTAAAGAGCTATGTTGTTGGGAGCCTTGCCAGTGTGAGGCAGGAGCTAGCTGTGCCACCTTGGTGCCTGAGTTCAGGTAAGCTTGACTCCAGAACTCCAGAACCAACAGAACCACCAGAACAGCAGTGGTGGTGGTGGCAGTTATGTGCTGTGGAGTCGATTCCGACTCATAGCGACCCTGCACAGGGTTTCCGAGGTTGCAAATCTTTACGGGAGCAGAAAGCCTCATCTTTCTCCCGTGGAACAGCTGGTAGTTTCGAACTGCTGACCTTGGGGTTCGCAGCCCGATTCATAACCACTATGCTAGTAGTATAGCAGAAACCATCATAACTAGCCACCCAGGTGCCCTCCCCTCTGGTCTTGACAGACACAGAAATCAGCTACATTAAGGACCTCCACGAATGAACTACTTCCAAATTCAGTGTCCTGAACATAGACAACAACTAAACCTGTAGGAACTCCATCTAGGGCCAAGAAGTCTGTTGTCATATCCCTTCCGTACCCACCTCATGAGCTCCTTTGTTGGCAAGGAAACCTCCCCACTCCCTAGATTTTTTTCTCTCTGGTTTGGACACCTATGCTGTTTTCTGTTTGTTTTCCTTTTCTTGTTTTATTGCTTTGGTGTGTTTATTCTTTCTTCTTCCTCTCTTTCCCTTCACTTGATTTTTTTATCCTTTCTTTCCTCACTTAATTTTTTCTTCTGTTTCTCATTTCCCCCCTTTTCTTCTTTTCCTTTTGACCTTTCTCTGGTGGTGATGGTGGGTGGTTATATGCCGTGGAGTGAGTTCCAACTCATAATGACTCTATATAAGATTTCCAAGGCTCTAAATCCTTATGGGAGCAGAAAGCCTCATCTTTCACCCATGGAGCACCTGGTAGATTCGAACTACTCAGCTTGCAATTAACAGCCCAACTTGTAACCCACTATGCTATTCTCTAATCCCTTTCTCTTTTCACCTTCACTCTCTCTGTCTTGTGTGTCTGTGTTTCTTTCTTTTATTTTCTCTTCTACAACTCCATCTTCCTGTCCCCCTTTTCTCTTTTTAGTTATTATATTCTTTTTTGTTGTTGTTGCCTGTTTTGTTTTTTTCTTTTTTATTATTTTCTGTTTTCACTGCTGTTTGCTTCTTTGTTCTATTTTATTTTCTTGTGTGTGTGTCATCTCCTCTTACCTTGCCTAGGAGGAGACAGTAACAGTGTCCATACAGCCCAGCCACAGCTGTATCAGCTGTAGCTCCACCCACTGAGAAAGAGCCAATTCTAGCTCCAAAACCAGCGAATCAACAATAGACAGTAGCTAACACCAGCCACACCCACTCTACCCTAAGATGCATGAATAGTGAACTAAGAATGGTACACATGCTTCCATTCTAGGATCATATCCCCCAAGAAACAGCTGGTAAAAGCCTAAGAACACACCAACATACAATCATCAGTTAAATACAAATACAATACCACCACAATGTCCCAGAGACAACAGAAAATTTCAGTTTATACGAAGAAGCAAGAGAGAGTAGCTCAAAACAAGTGACCAAGATGCAGAGTCAGAAAATGTTTCTGAGGAAGAAACCTTGAGGTTAGCAGTCCAGTGCTTATCCTATAGTTCCACACCAAGACTCCAGCTAGAGGGTATACATATGTTAACTTTTGTGATGAGGAAAGCAATATACAACAAGAAAGAGGTTGGCAGAGAAAAGATGAAGGTAACAGAAGATATGGGGAGGAGTACAAGAGTTAAAGTGAATAGAGGTAAATACTGTTAATTGATGGTACATAGAGGAGGTTGCAATCATTGTCATGAAACAAGGTGTATGATTTGTTGAACATAAAATTGATGATCTGCCCTGCAAACCTTACTCAATTCACAATAAGAAGCTTTTTTTTTTTTTTAAAAAAAGAGCTTCATGGTTCTATAGAGATACAGATACAAACTCCAGCAGATTCTAATTAGGCCTGCCTAGTTCTGGATATCTGCACACAGTGCCATTCCAGAAGTTTTCCCAATTCAACTTCTCCTGCCAGGGTCTGAACTCAGAAGCTGGCAGGAGCTATGGGTTGATCATAATGACAATGAGTAGAATGATCCCATGTGGCTGACACTCCCTTAGGCCCTGGATCCCTCCCACTGCATTTCAAGTGTTTATGGCACTACCCCCTCACACACTAAGTCTCCAGGTGTGGGGCCCTGAGTTTAAGGGATTCTTCCCCTTAGAGAACCTATGTAATTGGGTTCCAGCCTCGTGCTCCAACTGGGCCCATATTTGGTAGCACTCATCCATCATCTGAGTATAAAAGTCTTCAGGATATGCCCTTCGTATAATCCGGCTCTGTCCGTGGGAACTTCCTCGGGAATGCGGCAGAAAGAACTGGGAGTGGAGAACAAGAGACAAGTGAAGCTGTTATTTCTTGACACTGTGCTCTCTCCCCTCCTTAAAGGAGCCATCAACCAGGAACCACTTGTTCATCAAATATTTGTATGCAATCTTCCCCTTTATGGCTAATTTACTGACTATCTGGCTATCAGGGTAGTTCTTCAGTGGCACTCATTTAGGCTTCCTTTTCACTAACATCATTCACATCAGGAAGTCCCTTTGTTAGCTATTCTTCACTCATCCTGCTGTAATCTTACCCCACTTCCACTCACAGAGCGCCAGAACTAGAAAGAACTCCATCATTTTATGGAGAAGGAAACTGACGCTGATTTTACTTCTCTGTGGCTTCAGATCACTCAGGGCAAAAGAATCACTTTGGGATTTAGCAAAAGATGGGGAAGTTTCCTAGGAGGTTGAACTAGAAACTCCTCAGGCTTTGAGAAGATTGATGGAGAAATGAAAAAGCTTTCTAACCACTCCAGCTTATTACCAAGAATAGTAAACTATAATCAGCCTGTTGGGCCTTAGGCAGAATACAGCGAGAGAGAGACCACCGTGAAACCCTTAGGTGTTGGGCTTGGCAGACCCATCCTCAGAAGGATCCTGCAGATACACAGGATTCATCACATGTGCATTGCATGAGGCCATCTTCTCTATAAGGTGCTCTGGTAGCGTAGTGATTATAAATCAGGCTGCAAACCTTAAGGTCAGCAGTTTGAAACTACCAGCTGTTCCCCGGGAGAAAGATGAGACTTTCTGCTCCTGTAAAGATTTACAGCCTCAGAAACCCTGTACAGGGTCGCTATGAGTCAGAACTGGCTCCACGGCACATAGCCACCACCTTCTCTATAAGGAAAAACAAGACCTAAGTCTTACTTCATGTCTATCAAAAAAGGAGGCTGCTATTATCCAGAAGTGGCAGAAATAAAAAAACACCACTTCTGGATTCTGGGCTGAAGCCAGGAACCTTCAGGGAAGAAATCTCCACTCCTAGGCTAACAAATCAGCCTTTGTGGCTAGGCAAAATGATCTTTACTTAAGGTTGCCCAAAGGAAAATTGGTATTTTTCTGGGCTGGATCTATCAGATAACACAGAAGAGGCTGAGTCACAAGAAGGAAGAAAGTAGGACCTGGGATACTTCTTGGTCAAGGGCAGGAACTGGGGGCAGTAAAAATAGGAAATGTCTGCGGGGAGAATGGAACTGTCTTTGAACTATCATAAAACATATTATGCAAATAAGATACAAGTTGTACAAAATTTGTGATGACTTGGGCCCTTTGGCATAGTCCCATAACCTGCTGAATCTGAAAACTCTTCTCTAGAGAAGGAGAGAAAGAAGGTCAGGAGTGCAAAGGGAACACAGTACCTGCTCCAGAAGGAGGACCCTCTTCCCATTTTTGGCCAGGTGGTATGCAGTGAAGCAGCCCTGGATTCCTGCTCCTATCACAATGGCATCACAGAGATCTTTCTGGGAAGCCATGATGCTCACTTAGTCAGCTGTATAGCCACAGAGTCCACAAAGAAGACAAACAAAGGCAGGCACTCAGCCACAAGAGGTGGAGTAAGGCAAAGTCCACCCTGGCCAATGTTCCCACAATCCCCTGGGGCCATATCCTTCTCTCCACTCCTTCCCCCACCCCAAAGGCTGGCACAGGGCTCTGGCTTCCGCCTCTCCTGCAAAGCAGAGCTGGGTAGTCTGGATTTGTGAGGTTTAGCCCAGCTCAGCTGCCAGCCTCACCCTTGCATCCCTCTAGCTTTCTATTCTTGGCTCAATTATTGTCATGCAAATGGGCTCCTTCCTATGCCACCTTCCTGTCTCATTATGATCTTTGTCTCGGGGACTTCGGCCCTGGAATTTCAATGCCTCCTAGACCAAGCTGGGCACTGGGAATGCTGCCTCCCCCTGCTGGCTTCACTCTCTTCAACCTAATTTCCTTTGGAGACTCTAGAGGGCCAAGGGAAGAACTTGGCACTATGCCCAGGGTAAGGCCTACCTCCCTGGTGGGTGGTGAGGTCAGGAGGTAGATGCAGGGGCGGATTGGGAAGGCAGTTTTGTGATTATGAAATGATTCACAGCATGTTTCACTTTTATTAAAAAAAAAAAAAAAAAAAGAGAGAGAGAAGAAATGACCCCTAGAAAATAGAAAAGACATATGAGAGGAGGGACCTTCACCTTGGACAGATAGAGGACCAAGCAGCAAGCGCCCAGCACAAGAAGAGGCCCTGTAATGGGCACTCCCAGTATGCTGGGCAGTGTGCTTAAATAAGTACTTTTACACACATTTGGAACAGATCCATGTCTTGTAGGCCTTATTCTTATACAATTTGGGGTTCCTATTTAACAAAAAGAAAAAAATTATGAATAAAAATTAGAAGACTGGAAGGGACCATGTAATTAAGGAGCTCTGTGGTTGAAGTTTCATTAGCATCACAGTGAATCTGCCTCTGCATGCAAGATCTCATTTAATCCTCACCCCCCTAGAAATGTGTAAAAGATGGCCCCAAATTCTCTGACACTCCTTCCCTCACAGGCTCTGCAACTGCTTGACATGTAGAATAGGGTGGAAGTGACGTTGTGCCAATCTCTGGCACAGACTTTAAGAGACTGGTAGCTTCCTCTTCTTGTCTTATTACAATCACTCTTGAAGTCATGAACTGCCATATTAGAAGTACAAAACTACCCTGTTGGAGAGACCACATGGAAAGGGAGATGGGCCCAGCTGGGTTTATCAAAGTGCCAGGCATAAGAGTGAAGTCCATTGTAAATCCCCCAGTTTAACCCAGACACCAGCTAAATACTGCTGAGTGATCCAGTCAATGCCTCAAGGAACAAAAGAATCACCCAGCCAAGCCCCGTCTGCATTCCTGGCCCACAAAATTATGAGATAGAATAAAAGGGTTGTTTTAAGATACTAAGTGTGGGGTGGCTTTTACACAACAATAACTGAAATACGTGCCTCTGTAGGGTAAGCACTGGATTGCAAGGTCAGTTTGAACCACAAGGTAGGCTGTTCAAACTCAACAGCTGCCTCCTCGAAAACCTATACACGGTTGCTATGAGTTGGAACTGACTTTAAGGCACTTAACAACAACAACTTTACAACCAAAGACAACAAAGATGTTATAATTTGCCTAAAGCCACACACCTGGTAAACATAGGCACTACATTTTGAATCTAGGTTGTTTTACTCCAGAACGTGTTCCCTTAACCACTCTGCTTTACTGAGGATCAGTTAGAATTTATAAAAATAATTCTAATTTCAATATTCTGCTGTTTCTTTCATGGTCATACTGTGAGTGGGAGAAAATGATGAACCAGAAAATCCATGTGACTCTACAGAGCTGCCCAACCTCAGCATGGTGGCCCACTCCCAGCAACAATCCTTAATCCACAATAATCCCCCAGAGTGGGTTTGCCATCTCAGACCTTTCTTTCCGAGTAAAATAAGGGCCCAAAGAGGGGTGCTATCTAACTGACTTTTTTACTTCTTCTGAAAAATCTTAGCATCCAGAAGTCATCTCAACTCCATCCTACCCACACCAGCATCAGACAGGATAGCATTCATCTATAGCAGCAATCGGACAACTCCCTTGAGGGAAAAAAAAGGCAGATATACTAAGAAAAAGGAGCTCTGGTAGCGTAGTGGTTATGAATCGGGCTGTGAACCTTAAATCAGTAGTTCAAAACTACCAGCTGTTCCGCGGGAGAAAGATAAGGCTTTCTGCTCCCGTAAAGATTTACAGCCTCGGAAACCCTGTACAGGGTCGCTATGAGTCGGAACCGACTCCATGGCACATAACAACAACAACAATACTAAGAAAAGTGTACTATTTAAGTATGTAAAGCCTTGATATGAATACATATGGTCAGCCCCCGATTTCTCTTGATAACATGTCAGAGGAGATGAGCAGTTCACACACCAGGAAAAGCAGACAACAAATCTTCACATTGCCCACTCTCACTCATAATGAAAGAAATGGGAATTCAATAACTTCAGGGTACTATTATTAAATATGCAAAAATAAAAATGATAAAATCTGTTGTCAGTGCTGTAGGGACAGAAATAGAGTGGGATGATGGTAATTCAGATTGCCAGGGCCGTCTGGAAAATACTCTGGCAATGTGCTATAAGACTTATACCTCTGACCTAGAAATCCTACTTGGGGAACTATATACTCCAAGGAAATATTCAAGGGAAGGAAAAAGCATTTCTATGAAGACATTTGTATCTGTACTTTTAGAATATAAAAAATTGAAACAACCCAACCATGGGAACTAGCTGAATGTTGATACAATGGAATACTATGTAGCTATTCAAAACGACAAGCAGAGAACTGTGCTACATGGAAATGGGTATTTGAAATAATGCTGAGAAAAAAGAAGCAGGACCCAAATAGGCAGGAACCGATCACAGGCTTGAGTTACAGGTATGTATTATCAAAGATCTAAGAAGAATTTAGTAAGGTAATTGAGCTTAATACTCATTAGCTTCCAAATTCTGTGAAAATTGCTTCCATTCATAATTTGTAAAAGAAGGAGAAATCCCCTGGGGAATCAGATGCTTCCTATCTGCCTGGTCACTGGCTCCAGGGTTTGGGGAAGTTCTTTCTTTGTTCTAATCCCAGTTCTTCTGCCCCCTGACATTTCCTATTCTTCCTTCCCCCCCAGGAGAAGCTGCAAAGTGGCTCTGTAGCCCCCTCTTTTGTTTAATATAATGTCTCTTCAGAGAGAAAATGACAATTCCATTTCTCCATCTCTACTTAACAAGCTTGCCCTGGATTCCTGGACTCAAGCATTCTGCTGCTTGTTAAGAATTTCAAACGATTCCTCCGAAAGCAGACACTGGCCAAGGCCCAACCTTGAAATAAAAAAAGGATCCGCTTCTGAAGGTTTCCCCTTCTCTCAAGGTTGCTTATCCTTGTAGTTGTCCTGACAGGGGCAGGCAGAGAGAAGGAATCCCCTCAAATTCCATTTAAACAACCATTCTGGAGAGGAAGACTATTAAAGAGAGAGCCAGCAGCCCCTATACCTCACTGCTTGTGTGTGTCAGCAATTGCTGCTCATGTCCTGGGGCAGAGACGCCATGGATGTGAGGTTGAGCTGCTCATCTGATGACTTGATTGACACTTTGCAGACGGGGGTGGGGTGAGAAAGCTGAGACAGGGAAGCAGCAAGCTGTACAGTTCAGAAATAATGAGAGGACCCAAATCGGGAGAGAGCGTGGAATAAATAAGAGAGACCGAAGAGTTGAATGACAAAGGAGTGTCTTCTGTTCTCCTTTCCCTGAAGCAGGCAGGCAACGAGGAAACAGCCTCCCTGGACCTATCCTGCCAGCTCTTGGGGGACATTTGGGGACCTGAGTGTGCAGAGGACACCAGCATGAAAAAATAAAGAACAGCAAAAGCAGGATTGGCACGTGTTTTACATCCCCATTTCAGGTCTCAGGTTGATACCCCTCTCCTCCATCCCCACTGCTTTTGCCCCCAGATCAACCAGATTATTGTGCCAGCGTCCGAATGAATCTCCCGAATGAATCTCCCGGCTCTGTCCTTCCTCCTCTTAATCTCCCCTCCACATTCCTGAGAGTGTCATCGCTCTAAACGGTGAATCCGAACAGGTCATTCCCCTGCTGAAAATTCTTTAATAGCTGCCCATTTCCAAGAAGGATAAAATCTAAACTCCTTAGCTTGGCACACGAGGCCTCTTCCTGCTCCTACAGCTCCATCCAATTTCATCCTTCTCACTGCTCTTTATGCTCTGGCAGTGTGGCACTGAGACAGGTTCCAGCACTCACCATAATATTCCAAATTTCCCGACACCCCCCAAGCCGACTTCAGCTTAGAAGTCTCTCCTATACTCCCTTCACACCCTGTACATGACTCAATTATAACAATTAGCATGCTGTATTATAATTTCATGTCAGTCTTCCCTCTAAGCTCCCTAAGAGGAGGGTGGTTCTTCTTTTTACTGTCATCTTAATTGGTAATATATACATATGAACACAATGAAAAAGTACAGAAGGGTACATTGTGAAAAGTCTCCTTCCCACCCTATCCCCAGCAGCTTAGTTCTCATCAGATGCAACATTCTGAGTATTTTCTTTTGCATTCTTCCAGAGAGATTCTATGGGTATACACATATACTTATGCATCCTTTTCATTTTCTTATATATATATATCAGAAGTATCATAGTGTACAACACCTTTCTGGTTTTATTTACAGTACCTTGACAATTCATATCAGTCATACGGAGCAGGTGCATTCTTTCTGATGGCTGCACCGTGCTCCATGATATGGGGGAGGCATTTGTAACAAAGGAGGCATCCATACATGTTTACTGAGTGGATGATGGGTTTCTCTCCTTATCATGTTGCTGTTGTTAACTGCCCCTGATTTGCCCCAGGCACAATGGAACGAAATGTTACTGGTCCTTAGCCATCCCCATGATTGGTAGTGGATCACGCTGTTGTTTTGTGGTT